TGTGTCTGCCCCTAATCAGTGTAACTGTATTGCTACACATTTCCGTACCTCGGTTCCTTTGTTCTGCAGCCGCGTCGTACTGACGTTCTGTTTGTAGATTTTTTTTCTGCTGAATCATTCACATGAACTGATGACCTCAGCGGCCGTGTCGTGACCCCAGGCTGTGTCTCTGGCTTCATGTGTAATTATGTCTCTTTGTAAGTGTACAGGATGTTTTTCAGTCTGAACCAAACTCTGTACAGAAACGGTCGCTTCTGTTTGTGTTGTTGTATAAAAACCGTTCTGTTCAGTTCAATGAGCAGACGTCTGTTTTATTTCATCACTGAACTACGGAGCCCAGCGTGGACAGGTTTACTCACAGGGCTGTTTCCATGGTGACAATAAATATCAGTTATCTCCAACCAGTACATTCAAATCATCCCTTTGTGTGGCTACTGTAAGAGGTGCAGGTCTGTTTCACAGCGTTTCCTCAGGCTGACCAGCAGGGGGCGCGCTTTATGTTTTTAATATGAGCAGGACAGCAGAGCTGATGATCAGAGGGCGAGAGATTCAGGTAAATTACAATAAACAATACAAACAGGAAACAGTTTATTGACAGAAATCTGTTATACAGCTGTTCATGTTTGTGTTCATTTGACTAAGCCTTGTGATGTCACGGATGTGAGACAGGTGACCCTTCTTCACATGTTACATACAGCTTATCTGTAATCAGTGATCCTGTGTCCGGACTACTTCCTGTCCCTCCTGCTTTGGATTTCGAGGCTCTGAGGACTCGTCACACTGCAAAGCTCCTTGGTGGGGAGTCTGTGGTTTCTGATGGCGAGCTGTATAAATAAGCTGACTGGACGGGATGGTTAGAGAGGCGTGAGTCATGGTTTGATCAGCCAATCGCAGTGAGGATTCACTTTGTAAACGTCCAACAGCAAACAGTCTGGATGGAGGCGACGCTCACCTGAGAGACAGACGGGTGGATTAACTCCTGGTATTTCATGTTTCAGGTCAAAGCTGGCTTTTAAGATCTACACCTGTTTACATCTTAGAACATGTTTGTGTGTTTTCAGACTCACCGATGTTTCCTCCGACTTCATACAGACGCTGGACAGGACTGTGGGGCGAGAGACATGCACACAGAGAGAGAGAGATCGGTCATGGTGACATTAATGGAATAGGGTGTGTTTGTGTGGTCCCAAAACCGGGATGCACTATACTGGTGGGGACCGACCAGCTTAGCGGGGACCAAAATGCTGGACCCCGCAAGTGTAAAGGGCCATTTGAGTGTTAAGACCTGAGCTGTTTCTCAGTCTGTGTTCCTGTGTCTTGTGAAATGTCATCAGTCGCAGCCAAAGTACTGTTCCAATTCAAAAGTCTGCATCTAGCCAAGTACAGTCAGATACCCGGATGTGTTCTCGCTCCGCCCGTGTTACCGAGCCTGCGTCGGTGGTGACTTTGTGTGTACTTCGGATATCCCAGAATGCATTTCGCCGCCAAAAAGCGGAAAAGTCAGAGGAGAAAACTCACAACTGTAACTTATAATACTGCTGTTCTCGTGTCACGGAATGCAGTTTTAAGTTTTTTATGCAGGAAAATATGTCCAAATATGTGGTCGATTTATCATGACAGAGCTGATTTAAAAATTTGCTACAACGTTTTCGGAGATGTGAGGACCCGCTAATGGTTCCGGCCGTCATCAAGTCCGCTGCTGTTCCAATTGCTGAATGACGGACTGCGTGCTCCTGTTCCTGGGAGTTTGCCAAGTCCGAGCTTTAAAGTACAGAAGTCCAAACTTGGCTAACTTGGTACTGAGAACCAGCCGGTCTTCGGGTTCGGGTTAGGGCTAGGGTAAGGGGGCTGAGGAACGCATTATGTCAATGAGATGTCCCCACAAAGATACTAAGACAAACGTGTGTTGGTGCGTGCGTGTTACCTGTTGTCACACTCAAAGCGGGCGATGACGTCTTTAGCTCTTGTCTGTCCATCAAGCTGTATCGCCATGGAGACCTTGGTGTGCAGGGGAGCGTGAACCCGGATCACACCTTCACACAGCTCCGTGATCTGCACACACACACAAACACACACACACAGACAGGTGTGATGTCACAGTGATGACATCAGAGCAAAGACAGGTGAACTCCGGTTACCATGAACATGATACTGTGGTGGTCCCAGACTCCCCCCGGAGTGCTGCTGTCTGCTGGTCTTGATCTAACTATGTAGTGGAGACGTTTACACAACTTACAGTAAATAGGGAGTGATGTTGGACAACAGTATTTCCGGTTAACAAGAAGTACAGCAAGGATGGAGAACATAGTACATACAGTATGTAGGATAAGTACATACATAGTATACATATGCACCAAACACGTGTCCAGTTTGCTTTACTAGTGCATGCACAGCTGGTGCGCTTGTAGTGCGTACAGTCTGGACAGTCAATCTGGGCGTTCAGCGAACATGGACGGATGACGGACTTTACGTCACACAGACTCTTGTGGCCATGTTGATGCAGAAAGCATGAATCAGCCTTAGGTGCACCTGGAACCAGAACAGCTGATTGGCTGTGTAGTCATCAGATCTGTAGCTGTGGACGAACCACCTGGTGATGATCAGCGGATGGACAGAAAGGGTAACTGAGGGTGAGCTAGAGAGGTGGGTGACGTGCAGTCTGAGTAGGTCAAATTCAAGGAGGGGGGAGGCAGGACCCAGTCCATCCTGTTTTCAGCAAGGAGGTGAACCAGACTGAGGACAGATGGTGGAAGGAACACTGAGGAACTCCAGCGCCAGACTGACCTGTCCTCCAAAGAAGAGGCAGAACTTGAAGACTCTAGTAGACAATAATCCAGAGCTTCACCTTCAGGATCAACTAAGACAACCTGGTGAATCTCATCCACACCTGATGCCAATGCAGAGTTGTGACCTCTGCTACGATACGATACAATATACTTTATTGTGTCGGGGGGGAATCACTGAGCCCAGAATATATACAAAGTATGTCATATTGTAGTAGAGGTCACCGAGGCAGTTAAACAGCTCTGCGGTTGCATCTGGTGGGGATGAGATTCACCACAAGGTCCTGAAGGTGAAGCTCTGGATTCACCAGTGGATCTCTATTCCAGTTATCAGCTGTGGTCCTAGTCTCTGGGTGGATCCTGGGTTTCCTCTGCAGGGCGTCTGGGCTTGGCTTTAGAGACAGAGTGAGGAGCTCAGAGGAGAACCATTGTCCCTTCGTGTTGAAAGGAGTATAATTTTAGCTACCTCCCTTTAGATGTTTTCCAGGTAATGTGTAACTGGTTCAGGGCGAACCCAGAGCCCACCAGAGTGATTAAATATCTCATCAAGCCTGAGAACAGCTCATCATCCAGAAAGAGATTTAGGATGTGGTATGGGAGACTCACATCTGGGCTACATAATCTGCTGAATCCTGGAACCAGAACGGTCAAAAATGATGCAGAGATAATGATGTGCTGCTGTTCAATAATCAATAATCAGAATAGGTCTTATCATCTCTTAGTTGTCTGATCTTGTTCTGTGTTACCTGGTTCTTTTGTCTGACCTAGTTCATGTCCAACCTGGGTGTCTTGTCTCACCTGGTTCTCTTGTCTCACCTGGTTCTGTGTCTCACCTTATTCCCTGATCTGACCTGGTTCTGTGTCGCATCGAGTTCCCTGGTTTGACCTGGTTCTGTGTCTCACCTGGGTGTCTTGTCTGACCCAGTTCATGTCTTAGCTGGGTGTCTTGTCTCAGCTGGTTCTGTGTCTCATCTGGTTCTCTTGTCTCAGCTGGTTCTGTGTCTCATCTGGTTCTCTTGTCTGACATGGTTCTGTGTCACACCTAGTTCTCTGGTCTCACCTTGTTCACATCTTACCTGGGTGTCTTGTCTGACCTGGTTCATGTCTCATGGTTCCCTAGTTCTGTGTCTCACCTGGTTCTTATAATAATAATAATACATTTAATTTGTAATGCACTTTATATTTAAGCAAATCCCAAAGTGCTAATGGTTCTCTGGTTCAGTGTCTCACCTGGTTGTCTTGTCTGACCTGGTTCTATGTCTGATCTGGTTCTGTGTCTGACCTGGTTCTGTGTCTGACCTGGTCTCTGTCTCACCTGATTCCTTTCGTTCTTGTCGTTCTTTCTCCTCAGCAGTAGTCTCTTGGTCAGGCCGAGCTGTTTCTGATTGGACGCCTGATTCATCTGTCTCACCTGAGACAGCAGGAAGCTGGGGATCTACCACAGAAAACAGGAAGTGATGTCACTGATAGCTAGGACAGAGTTGTCACTGAGGATGTGCGGGTGTGTGTTCTAGGACTCACGGTCCACAGCAGATCCTGGTGTGTGATCATCAGTCGGACCAGGTGAGCCCCGCCTACCGCCTCCTCCATCTCCTCCTGTTGTTTAGCGATGGAGCACTTGTTGCCATGGTGATGGCAGGTGAACAGGTTGGGCGCCATGACCATGGAGACGTTCCACAGAGACATCCGGTTCTGCTCCTGATGAGAGACCACCTTCTGCAGGAAGACCAGCAGTGCCTGTAACCAGAGAAACAAGTCCATGTTTATCTGTTAATACCTGCAGCGGTGGCATCAGCCTCAGACCAATGTCCTGAGGATGTGGTGTGGTGCAAGTGTTGGGATTTACTTTGAACGTGTCTCTGTTGGCTTCAGGAAGCAGCAGCAGCAGCAGTTGCAGAGCCTGGACCTGATGGACCACAGATGGGATACCTGCAGAAACACAAGGACAGCAGGTTAAACAAGACGCCATGCTCAGACCGGCCACTAGAGACTGGACCATGCTCAGACCGGCCAATAGGGACTGGACCATGCCTAGACCGGCCACTAGAGACTGGACCATGCTCAGACCGGCCACTAGAGACTGGACCATGCTCAGACCGGCCAATAGGGACTGGACCATGCCTAGACCGGCCACTAGAGACTGGACCATGCATAGACCGGCCACTAGAGACTGGACCATGCTCAGACCGGCCAATAGGGACTGGACCATGCCTAGACCGGCCTCTAGAGACTGGACCATGCATAGACCGGCCTCTAGGGACTGGACAATGCTCAGACCGGCCACTAGAGACTGGACCATGCTCAGACCGGCCACTAGAGACTGGACCATGCCTAGACCGGCCACTAGAGACTGGACCATGCTCAGACCGGCCACTAGAGACTGGACCATGCCTAGACCAGCCTCTAGGGACTGGACCATGCTCAGACCGGCCACTAGGGACTGGACCATGCCTAGACCGGCCTCTAGGGACTGGACCATGCTCAGACCGGCCTCTAGGGACTGGACCATGCCTAGACGGGCCTCTAGGGACTGGACCATGCTCAGACCGGCCTCTAGGGACTGGACCATGCTCAGACCGGCCACTAGGGACTGGACCATGCCTAGCCTGGCCTCTAGGGACTGGACCATGCTCAGACCGGCCACTAGAGACTGGACCATGCCTAGACCAGCCTCTAGGGACTGGACCATGCTCAGACCGGCCACTAGGGACTGGACCATGCCTAGACCGGCCTCTAGGGACTGGACCATGCTCAGACCGGCCTCTAGGGACTGGACCATGCTCAGACCGGCCACTAGGGACTGGACCATGCCTAGCCTGGCCTCTAGGGACTGGACCATGCTCAGACCGGCCTCTAGGGACTGGACCATGCCTAGACCGGCCTCTAGGGACTGGACCATGCCTAGACGGGCCTTTAGGGACTGGACCATGCTCAGACCGGCCACTAGGGACTGGACCATGCTCAGACCGGCCTCTAGGGACTGGACCATGCCTAGACCGGCCTCTAGGGACTGGACCATGCCTAGACGGGCCTTTAGGGACTGGACCATGCTCAGACCGGCCACTAGGGACTGGACCAGGTTAGTGATATTTACTTTAACCTGACCCTTTCACATGTTGGTTAATTCAGTCAGTCAGTTAGTAATTGACTAGTGTACCCTAAACCCTCACCGCCACTCTGAAACCGTTTAGTATAAATGCTGAGTGTGTGGTCCTGGTCTGGACTGAACTGGCTGGTGTGTGCGTTCTTAAGATGAAAGGTTCGTTCTGTGGTTCTGCTGTGGGACGACTTCTGAGCACCAGGCCTCAGCCGGTTATGATGGAAAGGCTGTGTTAAGTGTAGGGAGGTGAGAAGGTGAGACACAGATCCAGGTGAGACACAGATCCAGGTGAGAAACAGATCCAGGTGAGACAGAGGCGTGTTTGCACACTGTGTGTGTGTGTGTGTGCGTACCCAGCACACAGCGGTAGGTGGACAGGTGCGTGTGTGTCAGCAGAGGTGTCGGCAGCTCTCTGATGAACAGCTTCAGCAGACCTGCAGCGTCAACCTGTCTCACCGCAGACCAGTCGAACCTTCCACAACACCTGTCTATCTCTCTGCGCAGGTACTGCAGACAGGCAGAGAGAGAGACAGACAGACAGTTATTGAGTCTGCGTGTCAACAGACCTGTCTCCACGACAACTGAGCAGACTCAATCCACAGATGAAGACAGTGTGGTAACAGTGGAAAGCTCAGGAAACAGCTTGTAAGTGGACGTTGGGTTTGGTGCTGGTGAATCAGTCTTAGGATCGCTGTAAGGTTTCCACCAGACATCACAAATAATCTGCAGACGACGATGTTTCTGTTAATTAGTCCGCTCTCACTGATATACACGGGGTTGACAAAATAACAGATACACCACTCAGTTCCACAGCAGCACACAGTGCATCCTCCAGGAAGATCCAACAGCTCAATCAACACAGAAAAGATGTGGCCACGTGTGTTTGCTTACCTTCAGTCTGGCAGCTGATCCCGGTACTCTGAGAATCCCTTCAGTCTGCAGGCCGGTCTGCTCTAAAATACACAACAGCTACACACACACAGGTGTAGGTGTTACTGGCTGTTTGTTGTACGACAGCTCTTCTTTAAATCAGAGCTGCCAACTCTCACGCATTGCGCAAGCAACTGACACTTTTCACATGGGTTCTGCGTCTGTCCGTCTGGGCTTCTATCAGCAGAGCAAGTAATGAACAGCAGATTACAGGGCGGGGAGACTTATTATACTGCTGTTCCAGTCCTATATAGTAGGTCTGTGACTCCTGCATGGCAGCCTTGCCTGATTCAAAGTTCAGAAAAATTATTTCTGTCTTATACCTACTCTTCATGTAGGCCTTCATTTCAGCCTCTGTCTGAAACAAGCTGTAGATGCTCCTGTGTCTTTAAGGCCCCCCCTCTCAAAGCCCACTGTCTTCTGATTGGCCAAGACCTGAAGCATGTTACCAGGCTGTTGTTGTCGCCGGGCGGAACAGGCAGACTGAGCGTTGCCGTGGGAGCACCTGACCATATATGGAACAGCGGCTGGTGTGTGTCGGAGCCGTTGGTAGAAAAAGCAAACAGAGCGTTCAGAACAGGAGGAAATCTGAGGTTTCTTTAAATACTTTAACCTCATTATTAACATCCAACATCATAACATTGTAGAAAGTTTTTTCTCGTAGAAATCTTTCTGGAGATGTCAGGTTACACAGGTATGTGGGATAGATGCAAAACGTTTTGAGCATTCAGTCCAGGAGTTTCTAATTAAAATGAATGAATTTATCCTCGAGGTGAAAAGAGGCCACATTTAAAGAGAAACTTTCCCAAACAAAGACACAAAGAGGAGGGAGGACTAAACCATGAAAGAAAGAGAAATACAGAATGATTGAAAGCCAAACACCTACTGAATTATATTTGATATTTTAAATTGTCACCTGCTGCCTGGGTTTTGTGTTTCCGTTGACATAGCCTAGATAAAGACATTTACACCATAAATTGATGCAGAAAAATTCTGCAGAATGCAGGAATTTATGTGTTTAATGCTACAAATTTGCTCCCCCGCATAATTAAGTGGCTCCTCCGTTGCCAAAGGAAAACCTGCGCTCTTGCTTATTATGAACTTTAATATTCCATACATTCTCTAGAATTAAAATAAATACGGTCTCTGGTTTGACGCACAGATTCTGGGGGAAGACTGTCCTATACCTGGTTAGGTTTGGTCAACATTAAGGCTACCGAGTATCCTGATCACACTGATCTGACCGTGATTATTGGCTTTTCATCTACACATTCATGTGGCTGCTGAACTTTCTAAACAAACGTCCTGAGGATTAAAGAGTGATGACCCCGACCCCTGCACTGGGATGTGACCTCCAAACTAAACTGAAAAGTTGGCTGCCCTGTTAGATACCACATGAAGTGAACGCTGTGGCGACTCTGTGTAACGCTGCACTCAGACCCGATACGAGGACTTCAGATAGAACCTCTGTTCTATCAGAGAACACTGCAGCTGCTCTGAGCTCAGTCAGCGGAGTTTTCTTACAGCATCCGAGCTGATCCAAATTAAACTTTAAGAAATGTATCTTTAGCAGCTGTTAGCTTCATGCTAACTCCTAACCACACGCTGCATCACAGGAATGTTCAGCTGTTAGCAGGAAGCTAATTTCACCAGTCAGCTGCTGCAACAGGGACAGCCTACAGAAAGTGACTCTGCCTCAAGAAAAGTACAGGAACTCAGAGTCAGAACTCCCCTCCATGGACTCCACCGTGATGTTCTGTGTGTTCTCACCCCTTTCTATCAGAACCAGCATCAACTCCTTCAGCACTTTGACCTGCAGTAGTTCATCTGTTGGATCGGACCACACGGACCAGCCTTCACTCCCCACGTGCATCAATGAGCCTTATAGCCTCGGACCACTTCTGGTTCTGACCTCTGCAGACCGGTCTGGAGATGTTCTGACCCAGTTGTCTCGCCATCACAGTTTGGTCCTTGTCAAAGAGGCTTAAATCCTCTCGCTGCCCATTTTTCCTGCTTCTAACACATCAACATAACCCACACACACATATCTACTGTCGGAAACATGCCTCACCACATCCAAACATCCACTGACTATGTGAACAAAGTTCAAGGACCGAAACTGGACCCAGATGTAACCACGGTGTCCTATGTTGTGACCTCCTTTTTCACATGATTTGTAAACTACTGGACCTCTGTCTAAACACCACCTATTTCCAGTACCACAGAGGATTCTACAGACAGAAGCATGGCTGTGCGATGGGCTCACCGGGATCCCCGATTGTGGCGAACATCTACATGGAAGAAGTGGAGAACAAAGCCCTCAACTCCACCTGGGTCAAGATTAAAAGCCAGAAAGCGCAAGCCATGGTAATCATAAATTATACGAAGACGCCTCTGAAAAATCTCCGTTTCGAGGGCTATGTAGCGCTCCCCCTTCAATCTAGCGTATGCTGTCCAGTGCAGTCCAGACCTCTATACTGGGGAGACTAAACAACCACTACACAAACGCATGGCTCACCACAGAAGGGCCAACTCCTCAGGTCAAGACTCTGCAGTCTACTTACATTTGAAGGACAAAGGACACTCGTTTGAGGACCACCAGGTGAACAGACAGAGAAGATGGATGGTTTGAAAGAGGAGGGGTACATAGACCATCTCTCAACAGGAAGGAGGGCTGAGACGCCACGTATCCCCCACCTAAAATGAGACCGAACAAACGATCTGTCCTCATGAGACAATGCCAACGATGGACGTCTCCAAGTGTCTTCAACCAAGTCCAGCTGCTCTTGATTTTAACCTTCCTTTGATATCTGTTTAACAGTTTCAGGTTTTTGTATTTCCTTCTTTATTTTGAAGTCGTCTGCATTTGGTGACCTTGTCCATACTTTGTTTCCGGTCTGTGTTGATTTTCCCTGATGTTGTCCACCAGTGCCTCGTTTCATCACCTCCCTCTTGGGTATCAAGGCTCTTTTCTCTTGCCGAGTGTTTTGGCTGCTCCCCTGGTCTGTGTTTTTGTTCCTATGTGGATTCTTGACTTGGTTCCCATTTTCCTTCCCCAACCTTTTCCTTTGACTTCTTGAGTTACCCTCTGCACCACTGGATTACTTTACCTTTGTTCTGGACTGCCTAGTTGGATCCTTTGGACATAACCTTTATCACCTTTTGTTTGCCATTTAATAAACATCACTAACTGTGCCTGCCTGGCCTTTCTGCATTTAGGTCTAAACCTCCAGTTTCCTCTGTCTGCACTTGGTCAAACCTGACTATAGAGTAGTTATGTCATCTGAACATCACTCCACCAACCAGGTACGTCTCTGAAAATACTGGAGTACTCAGAACTTTAACTTTTTTTGCATTATTGTACTTAACTAAATGACTGGAAAACTTATCACCACAGACGGACAGACAGATTCTTCACCTTCTGGAAGACGACAGGAACTTTGACTCCAGGAAATTTCTTCCTGTCGTTCTCCAACAGCACATTCAGGGGAACACCAAACACACCGCTGTCTGACAGACAGAGACAGACAGACAGTGTTACAGATATATATTATACAGAACAGATTTGATTCTGGTCCCACTGCCTCCCCCACCCACCACAGTACAGACCAGTCAACGTCCCAGTCACCCTCCTCATACACCCCCTCCCCCATGCCACTCCCACCGCTAGCAGCTAATGTTAACTGGAGAACAAATAGAGGTCTGCATCCTCATTTATAAACGTGTGTAGGATTCACATCAAAAGGTGGAGTATGGATGAAACAGTGAAAAAACATTCCGGTTTATAATGATGTATGTTAAAGATGAATCCTCTATGCACGGCAAAGTTAGTCACACAGTTCTACAAGGATCCAGTCTTACATATTCTTCCTTTACTTCATAAACACTCCATAAACCTTCATTGTTATGCAGATGATACTTAGTTATATCTATTGATCAAGCCAGATGAAACTCATCAGTTAGCTAAACTTCAAATGTGCCTTCAGGATGTTAAAACCTGGATGACGTGTAATTTTCTAATGTTAAACTCAGATAAAACTGAAGTTATTGTTCTGGGGCCTAAGCACCTCCGTGACGCATTATCCAAAGATATAGTTTCCCTTGATGGCATCGCCCTGGCCTCCAGCACCACTGTGAGGAATCTTGGAGTTATCTTTGATCAGGACATGTCGTTTAAGTCTCACATTAAGCAAATTTCAAGGACCGCATTCAGGAATATCCTGTCTAAAAATGATGCAGAAAAACTAGTCCATGCATTTGTTACTTCTAGGCTGGATTACTGCAATTCTTTATTATCAGGCTGCTCGAAAAAGTCCATTAAGACTCTTCAGCTGATCCAGAATGCTGCAGCACGTGTTCTGACAGGAACCAGGAAAAGAGATACACTGAGCTCCTCTCTCATCCCATTGTGCATGTTACTAACTCGAATTCCTTCCTGTCCCGTAGTCTCGTGCTTTCCCGTCCCTCTCTCTCAACTAAACCGGTCGAGGCAGATGGCAGCTCTGAGTCCAGGTTCTTCTCCAGGTTTCTGCCTGTTAAAAGTTAGTGCTATATGAATAAATAAAATGGACATTGAGTAACACAGTAAGCATGCACGTCCCATGCAGATTTCTCTTCATAGATCACAATCAACTCAAAAGTTGGCGCAGAGGAGTGAGCTTCTTGTCCCACGTGTTTAATGCCCATAGTGGCCTCAGTGAAACTCAGTGAAACTCCCCTGATTAACATCAGTACATATTAACTGCTACGCAGCTGGAAACATCCTCTGGGTTAAGCTAAGGTCAGTGATACTTATCCAGACTGCAGGGAAATGGCCGTCTGTGCCCTGACAGGGTGATGATTTTCAGAATAAGAGGTTAATGATGAGCTCGTTTCTTCAAGCGGCTGGAAACTAAAGATTCAACCAATAAACCACCTCACAGTGTTGAGAGCACTCTCACTAACCGTCCAATCAGCTGCCTTCTCTATCTGACATCTCATTGGTTTAAAGTCTGACCCCTCAACTGTGTGTCGTCTCGTCTCAAACCTGCGTTCAAACTGTGATGTAAAAATCAAGCGCACCCCGGCTCCTGCGGCGCGGCGGACGGGTGCGTTTGGGTTGGACGCCCAGAGCGAGCAGGAAGGTGGAGAGCTCGATGTGAGAGATGAAGCCGAGGCGGGTGAGGTCACATGACGACAGGTCGTCTGCTGAGGCGAGACCGTGAGAGGGAGAGACGGGTACGAACTACACAAACACACAAACACACACATTTTGAATGGGACCTTTAGAACCTGATTAACGCAGAGTCAGAAATCGCATTAAACGGCATTATACTTCCTGTTCTCGTTCCCCTAAGCATGATGGGAACATGATTAGAAATAGAAGTAAGACAAACGTTTATATCGTCTCGCCAGCAGGAGGTCAGAGGTCACACTCACCGGCAGGTCACCACTGTCGTCTCCATGAAAACGCAGGCAGTCCCAACAAGTCCCGCCCCTCTTGTGCTCAGTCACGCCCTCTGAGTACGGCGAGTCCCGCAGCAGCCAATCGGCTTGCCTCCACTGACTGACGGGCGGGGGAGGGCTGTGTGTTGGAGAGCGGGTGTTTGTCGGGGACGGCGGGTGTTCAGGCAGCTGATCCTCAAACGGAAAGGTGGGAAGAGCTGGTCGAACTGGAAACAGACACACGGTTTCTTCTGCTTATTTCTTGTATCTGGCTCTTGGGTTCATCAGAGAACACTGAAACAACAAACCACTCAGACCCTCCAGAAAAACTAGAACCTTCCGAAAGTCAAGCAGCACCTCCTAAGCGACTACAGGAACCTTCCCAGTCACCACTGTGGCTCTGGGTTTTAGTTTAGCTTCCTGTCTTATGTTGAAAGAGCCCTTCCTCATGTGTCTTTGTTAACTTCACTTCCTGTCTGTGTGATTGTCTGCCCCATCCCGGTTTTACTTGTCCCCCATTATCATTACCCGCCCCAGTCCCTGTTCCCTTGTCTCGGTGCCAGCTCCTCTTGGTCCCTTGGGTTTGTTTCCCAGTGTTTCTGGACTTGGAAGTTCTTTTGCTGGACCTCACCCTTCAGTGGGATTTTGATTTGTGCCTGTTCCCTGTTGGATGTGTCTTCCTTGTTTTTGACGTGTGCCTGCCGCACCATACATAAGCCTTTCGTACATTTACTCACTGCTCCAGCTTTGCCTCTAAGTCTGGCTCTTATTTTTCAGGTTTCTGGTTCCCCTGCTTGCTCAAACCTTGACAGTATGATCGGGCCAGTCTGGACCCAGCAAACACATTCCCGATTAACTCTGGGACCTGATTTCGGATCTCGTGTGCCTGATATGTGAAGGAAATGTCATCAGTGACTACAGAAAGGCTGTCCTATCTCGTGCATACCAGAAAGTGTGCTCAAAGCCTTGGCTGAGGAACGCCATACTTGTGTGGGTCATAGAATTCCTCGGCACCACTGAGCCAGGTCCCCAGTTTAAGCCCACTAGCATCCAACTTGCTAACCTCCAGCCTCTATGTGAAACCTGTGCCTACACCAATACTTCAGCAACCAGCCCTCGACCTCCACTGCCCAGCACCCCAGAGCTTCTAGGCTGGATTACTGTTTTATTATCAGGCTGAAAAAGTGCATTAAGACTCTTCAGCTGATCCAGAATGCTGCAGCACGTGTTCTGACAGGAACCAGGAAAAGAGATCATATTTCTCCTGTTTTAGCTTCTCTGCATTGGCTTCCAGTAAAATCCAGAATAGAATTTAAAATCATTCTTCTTACCTACAAAGCTCTTAATGGTCAGGCACCATCTTATCTTAAAGAGCTCATAGTACCTTACTACCCCACCCGAGCACTGCGCTCCCAGAATGCACCTGTGGTTCCTAGAGTCTCCAAAATTAGACTGGGAGCCAGAGCGTTCAGCTATCAAGCTCCTCTCCTGTGGAACCAGGTTCCAGTTTGGGTTCAGGAGGCAGACACCATCTCCACATTTAAGAGTAGGCTTAAGACTTTCCTCTTTGATAAAACTTATAGTTAGGGCTGGCTCAGGTGAGTCCTGAACCATCCCTTAGTTATGCTGCTATAGGACTAGACTGCCGGGGGATTTCCCATGATGCACTGAGCTCCTCTCTCCTCTACTTTCTCTCCCTCTGTATGCAACCTCATCCCATTATTGCATGTTACTAACACAACTTCTCCCCTTTCTGGTAGTCTTGTGCTTTCTTGTCCCTCTCCTCTCTCCTCCTATCACTTCCTGCAGGTGTTTCTGGCTCTGGAGCTGTGGAGTCTGGATCTGTGGTTGCGGGTCACCTGCTGCCCCCGTGTTCCTGCTCGACACCCTCTGCTACAACGACTATTGTTACTCGTCCTATTATTATTATAATAATTAACATTATGATTGTTATCATTACCACTTCTATAAATATCTGTTTTCATTTAGTCTATAGCAACTAGGGCTTTCCCCGACTAAGGATTTACATAGTCGAATCAGAATCGTCAAGTCCTGCCAATAGTCGACTGATAGTCGAATGTGTTTTTGTGCACGGTGATTGTGAGCGTGTTGGGGGGGGGCACATACGGTAAGCTCCACTTTATTCTAGAGACGCTGCAGAGCTGCAGTCTCTATTCACTCAACTTGTGCTGTAAATTTCCAGCTAAACTGAGGCTTTTAGAAAATCCTTTTTTTTTTTCTCTCGCCTGTCATGAATCCTATGCCAAAGTTAGTCATACAGTTCTACAAGGATCCAGTCTTATATACGCTTCCTTTACTCCATAAACTTTCATTGTTATGCAGATGATACTCAGTTATATCTATCGATCAAGCCAGATGAAACTCATCAGCTGCATGCACATTGCGGTTCCTCGCGGGTCTATTTCAAGTAGCGGCTATTTAAAATCGATAAAATAGTCTTTGTGGTTCATCAACGGTGATAAATTATCTGAAAGTCCTGCGAGGTGCGACAACTCGGCACAACACCAGCGTCTCCGTCTCTTTAGCAAGTGTTCCTCTTCCAACACACGTTACGCTTACACATGCGCACTGAAGATCCAGGGTTAGGGTTAGAATTTTGGATTTATTTACGCACTTTAGAACATTTTTTGAAAGTTTTGTTCTCTTTACATGTTTATTTACAGCATTAAACGTTGAAATGTATATAGTAGTAGGCTTTATATTAACTTATTGGGAGAAAACTGGTAGTTCTATGTAAAATCAGAAGTTGAGCACCCCCATATCGCCAAAATGGCGTGATCCTTGTTTCGGTGCGAAGCTTCGGATGTGAGATTGACAGTCGCATCAGGCTCCGCCCATCGAAGCATCGAATCTTTGACTATTGGGGGTCAGGCCTAGTAGCAACATCACATTTGCTGTCTGTACCTCTGTGTGTATATTGTGTAGGCTGCCTCCCTCCCTCTTTCTCCCTCTCTCTCTTTCTCCTTCACCCCCAACCGGTGGAGGCAGATGGCCGCCCACCCTGAGCCATGGTTCTGCTCGAGGTTTCTGCCTCTTAAAGGAAGTTTTTCCTTGCCTCTGTCTCCTAGTGCTGCTCTTGGTGGGAATTGTTGAGCTTCTGTAAATAACATCACAGAGTACGGTCTAGACCTGCTCATTTATGAAAAGCGCTGTGAGATAACTGTTGTTGTGATTAGGTGCTTTTTAAATAAAACTGAATTGAATTGAGCTGATACCAGTTGTGTCTGGTTCTCTCTTGTTCCTGGTTTCCCATCTGCAGACTGGCTGACACTTCCTCCTGGTTCTCTGCTTTCATTGCCAGCCTCCAGAGGGGTGCCTGTCTGGTGTCTATTGTCTACCAAAGAACTATTGGAGCCCCCTAGAGAACATCTCCAACTACCTAATGAACCTCGAGGACCGCCTAAGGAACCTCTAGGACCACCTAAGGGACCTAGGACGACCAAAGGGACCTCTAGGACCACCTAAGGGACCTGTATGACCACCTAACAGACCTCTAGGACCACCTAATGGACCTAGGACCACCTAAGGGACCTCTAAGACCACCTAACAGACCTCTAAGACCACCTAACAGACCTCTAGGACCACCTAACGGACCTGGGACCATCTAAGGGACCTGTAGGTCCACCTAAGGGACCTCTAGGACCACCTAAAGGACCTGTAGGACCACCTAACAGACCTCTAGGACCACCTAACGGACTTAGGACGACCTAAGGGACCTCTAGGACCACCTAACAGACCTCTAGGACCACCTAACGGACCTAGGACCACCTAAGGGACCTGTAAGACCACCTAAGAGACCTGTAGGACCACCTAACAGACTTGTAGGACCACCTAACAGACATCTAGGACCACCTAACAGACCTCTAGGACCACCTAATGGACCTAGGACCACCTAAGGGACCTGTAGGTCCACCTAAGGGACCTCTAGGACCACCTAAAGGACCTGTAGGACCACCTAACAGACCTCTAGGACCACCTAACGGACTTAGGACGACCTAAGGGACCTCTAGGACCACCTAACAGACCTCTAGGACCACCTAACGGACCTAGGACCACCTAAGGGACCTGTAAGACCACCCAAGGGACCTGTAGGACCACCTAACAGACTTGTAGGACCACCTAACAGACATCTAGGACCACCTAACAGACCTCTAGGACCACCTAATGGACCTAGGACCACCTAAGGGACCTAGGACCACCTAAGGGACCTAACATGCCTGTGCTGGTAGGTCAGTTCCTCCATCAGCAGACAGGTACCTCTGTGAGTGTTTCGCCGGATGGTTTTGGTGGTGGTGTGGTATCGACTTGGTGGTGACTCAGCGCGGTGAGAGGGAGGGGAGGGGCCTCTTTCTGCTGAGTCATCGTCGGGCTGGAATAGTGTGTGTGTGTGTGAGAGAGAGAAATAAAACACTGAGTCATGGTTCAGTTTCTCCTACATTTCCCACAATGCACACCAGGACAGCTTTTGTAAAGTTACTACAGTACAGCCTTTTTGGTAACATATTTTTATATACACTTGTACATGTACACACAGTATATACAGTATATACAACTGTATGTGTACTGAATGTATCTGTGTGTCCCACCTCAGTGAAGATGTCCCGGACGTCTCTGATTGGCTGCCTATTTCTCATCTTCAGCGTCTCGTTGTAGTTGTCCAACCTTTTCTTCACCGTGGCAGCTTGTTGCCGTGTCAACGTGGACAGCAGCGCCTCGGCAGGCGGTGGCGATGCCTCATCTGAGCCCGTCACCAGGGAGGATAACCCCGCCTCCGTCAGCCACGCCTCCTCCAACTCCACCTCTGCAGGTAAAAAAGACGGGTAGCAGTCAGACAGAAAGACGAAGGCTCACTGTGCGGTTAGTTTGACTCACCGTCCATACTCTTCCTCTCCTCCTCCTCCTCCTCCTCTTCTTGTCCCTCCTTCTCCTCCTCAATGCTCCGCACTTCTCTCCAGTAGGTTTCCATGGAAACGCGGCGAGGCTCAGAGGTCACCGCCTGAGGATTTGGGGGGGTGGCGGAGGTGGTAGGTGGAGATGACCACATCCTGCGGAGACAGGACACATTGATCCAACCAATCAGAGCGCCGAACGGAAGTAATGGATCCAGTCAGCCAATCAGAGCATCAGACAGAGCTAATGGATCCTGTCAACTAATCAGAGCATCAGACAGAAGTAATGGATCCTGTCAGCCAATCAGAGCATCAGACAGAGCTAATGGATCCTGTCAACTAATCAGAGCATCAGACAGAAGTAATGGATCCTGTCAACCAATCAGAGCACCAGACAGAGCTAATTGATCTTGTCAATTAATCAGAGCGTCAGACAGAGCTAATGGATCCTGTCAAACAATCAGAGCATCAGACGGAAGTAATGGATCCTGTCAGCCAATCAGAGCATCAGACAGAGCTAATGGATCCTGTCAACCAATCAGAGCATCAGACGGAAGTAATGGATCCTGTCAACTAATCAGAGCATCAGACGGAAGTAATGGATCCTGTCAACTAATTAGAGCGTCAGACGGAAGTAATGGATCCTGTAAACTAATCAGAGCGACAGACTGAGCTAATGGATCCTATCAGCCAATCAGAGCGTCAGACAGAGCTAATGGATCCTGTCAACCAATCAGAGCATCAGACGGAAGTAATGGATCCTGTAAACTAATCAGAGCGTCAGACTGAGCTAATGGATCCTATCAGCCAATCAGAGCATCAGACAGAGCTAATGGATCCTATCAGCCAATCAGAGCATCAGACAGAGCTAATGGATCCAGTCAACCAATCAGAGAATCAGACAGAGCTAATGGATCCTGTCAACTAATCAGAGCGTCAGACGGAAGTAATGGATCCTGTAAACTAATCAGAGCGTCAGACTGAGCTAATGGATCCTATCAGCCAATCAGAGCGTCAGACAGAGCTAATGGATCCTATCAGCCAATCAGAGCATCAGACGGAAGTAATGGATCCTATCAGCCAATCAGAGCGTCAGACAGAGCTAATGGATCCTATCAGCCAATCAGAGCATCAGACAGAGCTAATGGATCCTATCAGCCAATCAGAGCATCAGACAGAGCTAATGGATCCTGTCAACCAATCAGAGCATCAGATGGAAGTAATGGATCCTGTCAACTAATCAGAGCGTCAGACGGAAGTAATGGATCCTGTAAACTAATCAGAGCGACAGACTGAGCTAATGGATCCTATCAGCCAATCAGAGCGTCAGACCGAGCTAATGGATCCTGTCAACCAATCAGAGCACCAGACGGAAGTAATGGATCCTGTCAACTAATCAGAGCGTCAGACGGAAGTAATGGATCCTGTAAACTAATCAGAGCGTCAGACAGAGCTAATGGATCCTATCAGCCAATCAGAGCATCAGACAGAGCTAATGGATCCTATCAGCCAATCAGACCATCAGACTGAGCTAATGGATCCTATCAGCCAATCAGAGCGTCAGACAGAGCTAATGGATCCTATCAGCCAATCAGAGCATCAGACGGAAGTAATGGATCCTGTCAACTAATCAGAGCGTCAGACGGAAGTAATGGATCCTGTAAACTAATCAGAGCGTCAGACTGAGCTAATGGATCCTATCAGCCAATCAGAGCATCAGACAGAGCTAATGGATCCTATCAGCCAATCAGAGCATCAGACTGAGCTAATGGATCCTATCAGCCAATCAGAGCGTCAGACAGAGCTAATGGATCCTGTCAACCAATCAGAGCATCAGACGGAAGTAATGGATCCTGTCAACTAATCAGAGCGTCAGACGGAAGTAATGGATCCTGTCAACTAATCAGAGCATCAGAAAGAAGTTATGGATCCTGTCAGCCAATCTCGGCGTTTGGGGGGTTTACCTCAGCTTTTCCTGCTCTTTAATTTTCTTTCAGATTTAAGTTTAGTTTAATTTCTACATTTATAGCAAATCGTTTTTTGTTTTTTAAAAGGTAAAAAATTTTGTTTGCTTTAGTTTAACAAGTTTTAATTTTAACAAACTACATTTAGTTTAACACGTTTTAATTTTAATAAACTACATTTAGGTCAACACGTTTTACTTTTAATAAACTTTCTTATGATATTAGTTTAGTAACTGTATGACTAAGGTTACTGTTGAGTTTAGTTTAATAAGTTTTAATTTGAATAAACATTCCTTTGATATTAGTTTAGTAACTGTATCACTAAGGTTACAGTTGAGTTTAGTTTAATAAGTTTTAATTTGAATAAACATTCCTTTGATATTAGTTTAGTAACTGTATCACTAAGTTTACTGTTGAGTTTAGTTTAATAAGTTTTAATTTGAATAAACATTCCTCTGATATTAGTTTAGTAACTGTATCACTAAGGTTACTGTTGAGTTTAGTTTAATAAGTTTTAATTTGAATAAACATTACTTTGATATTAGTTTAGTAACTGTATCACTAAAGTTACTGCTGAGTTTAGTTTAATAAGTTTTGATTTTAATAACCTTTTCTTTGATATTAGTTTAGTAACTGTACCACTAAGGTTACTGTTGAGTTTAGTTTAATAAGTTTTAATTTGAATAAACATTCCTTTGATATTAGTTTAGTAACTGTATCACTAAGGTTACTGTTGAGTTTAGTTTAATAAGATTTAATTTGAATAAACATTCCTTTGCTATTAGTTTAGTAACTGTACCACTAAGGTTACTGTTGAGTTTAGTTTAATAAGTTTTAATTTGAATAAACATTCCTTTGACATTAGTTTAGTAACTGTACCACTAAGGTTACTGTTGAGTTTAGTTTAATAAGTTTTAATTTGAATAAACATTCCTTTGATATTAGTTTAGTAACTGTATCACTAAGGTTACTGCTGAGTTTAGTTTAATAAGTTTTAATTTTAATAACCTTTTCATTGATATTAGTTTAGTAACTGTACCACTAAGGTTACTGTTGAGTTTAGTTTAATAAGTTTTAATTTGAATAAACTTTTCTTTGATATTAGTTTAGTAACTGTATCACTAAAGTTACTGCTGAGTTTAGTTTAACATGTTTTAATTTGAATAAACATTCCTTTGATACTAGTTTAGTAACTGTATCACTAAGGTTACTGTTGAGTTTAGTTTAATAAGTTTTAATTTTAATAAACTTTCCTTTGATATTAGTTTAGTAACTGTATCACTAAGGTTACTGTTGAGTTTAGTTTAATAAGTTTTAATTTGAATAAACATTCCTTTGATATTAGTTTAGTAACTGTATCACTAAGGTTACTGTTGAGTTTAGTTTAACATGTTTTAATTTGAATAAACTTTTCTTTGATATTAGTTTAGTAACTGTAACACTAAGGTTACTGTTGAGTTTAGTTTAATAAGTTTTAATTTTAATAAACTTTCCTTTGATATTAGTTTAGTAACTGTATCACTAAGGTTACTGTTGAGTTTAGTTTAACATGTTTTAATTTTAATAAACTTTCCTTTGATATTAGTTTAGTAACTGTATCACTAAGGTTACTGCTGAGTTTAGTTTAACATGTTTTAATTTTAATAAACTTTCCTTTGATATTAGTTTAGTAACTGTATCACTAAGGTTACTGTTGAGTTTAGTTTAATAAGTTTTAATTTGAATAAACATTCCTTTGATATTAGTTTAGTAACTATATCACTAAGGTTACTGCTGCGTTTAGTTTAACATGTTTTAATTTGAATAAACTTTCCTTTGATATTAGTTTAGTAACTGTATCACTAAGGTTACTGCTGAGTTTAGTTTAACATGTTTTAATTTGAATAAACATTCCTTTTATATTAGTTATGTATCACTAAGGTTACTGTTGAGTTTAGTTTAATGAGTTTTAATTTTAATAACCTTTTATTTGATATTAGTTTAGTAACTGTATCACTAAGGTTACTGCTGAGTTTAGTTTAATAAGTTTTAATTTGAATCAACATTCCTTTGATATTAGTTTAGTAACTGTATCACTAAAGTTACTGCTGAGTTTAGTTTAATAAGTTTTAATTTGAATAAACATTCCTTTGATATTAGTTTAGTAACTGTATCACTAAGGTTATTGTTGAGTTTAGTTTAATAAGTTTTAATTTTAATAACCGTTTCTTTGATATTAGTTTAGTAACTGTATCACTAAGGTTACTGTTGAGTTTAGTTTAATAAGTTTTAATTTGAATAAACATTCCTTTGATATTAGTTTAGTAACTGTATCACTAAAGTTACTGTTGAGTTTAGTTTAATAAGTTTTAATTTGAATAAACATTCCTTTGATATTAGTTTAGTAACTGTATCACTAAGGTTACTGCTGAGTTTAGTTTAACATGTTTTAATTTGAATAAACTTTCTTTGATATTAGTTTAGTAACTGTAACACTAAGATTACTGTTGAGTTTAGTTTAATAAGTTTTAATTTTAATAACCTTTTCTTTGATATTAGTTTAGTAACTGTATCACTAAGGTTACTGCTGAGTTTAGTTTAATAAGTTTTAATTTAAATCAACATTCCTTTGATATTAGTTTAGTAACTGTATCACTAAAGTTACTGCTGAGTTTAGTTTAATAAGTTTTAATTTTAATAACCTTTTCTTTGATATTAGTTTAGTAACTGTATCACTAAGGTTACTGTTGAGTTTAGTTTAATAAGTTTTAATTTGAACAAACATTCCTTTGATTTTAGTTTAGTAACTGTATCACTAAGGTTACTGTTGAGTTTAGTTTAATAAGTTTTAATTTGAATAAACATTCCTTTGATATTAGTTTAGTAACTGTAACACTAAGGTTACTGTTGAGTTTAGTTTAATAAGTTTTAATTTTAATAACCTTTTCTTTGATATTAGTTTAGTAACTGTATCCCTTAGGTTACTGTTGAGTTTAGTTTAATAAGTTTTAATTTGAATAAACATTCCTTTGATATTAGTTTAGTAACTGTATCACTAAAATTACTGCTGAGTTTAGTTTAACATGTTTTAATTTGAATAAACATTCCTTTGATACTAGTTTAGTAACTGTATCACTAAAATTACTGCTGAGTTTAGTTTAATAAGTTTTAATTTTAATAACCTTTTCTCTGATATTAGTTTAGTAACTGTA